TACTTTTCGTCCTCCTTCTTGCATTTTGAATTATTTAATTTTTTATGGTACTTTTTTTCATCAATCTTATTTCCAGACTTCTGGGAGATATTCTTAAATTATTGGCAACTATCTTTAAATATCTTTTCTACTACTACCTAGAGTTAACCAGTAACATTTACCAATTTAATGTCATTCCTTAATCATAATATTGCCAAATGTATATACTTTAAAGTCCAAATTTCTATAATTTCTTTGTCTTTAAAAAGATCACATAGCTTCAGAGATCTTCTTTTATATCATATCATTAAAAGTGATTTTAGAGGGCCGGCTCCGTGGCTTGGCGGTTAAGTGCGCGTGCTCTGATGCTGGCGGCCCGGGTTCGGATCCCGGGCACGCCCCAAGGCACCACTTCTCCGTCCAACCCGAGGCCGGGTCCCACATGCAGCAACTGGAAGGATGCGAACCTATGACATACAACTATCTACTGGGGCTTTGGGGGGAAAAAAATGAACAAATAAAATCTTTAAAAAAAAAAAAAGTGATTTTAGATTTTTATCCTGTGTTTTTTCTGGCTTCTTTTCATTTGCACAGTTCTCTTCCAGAACTAGGAAATTGGGCTGTCCCTATATGTATCTATGTATTGTGTGTGTGTGTGTATGAGAGAGAGAGAGAGAGATGATTAAACATCTTAATTGTATGCCATCAAAATTCCTAGAGAATGCTTTTGTTTATTAACTTACAGAATTGTAGGCACCTAGAGCTGGAAAGAACCTTTAAGGTTATCGCATTCAATCTTAATAAACCAATTCACTAATTCACTTAAAAATCAATTCACTCAGCAAATATTTTTGAGTACTTATCATGTTTCAAGAACTGTAGTTGGTGCCAGTAGTTGGTGGAGATAAAGATGAACAAATGAGACATGCTTTCCAATTGAGAAGGCTCATGTTCTAGTGGGTGAGGAGATGCAGACACCCATGCAGTTGTGTGTGAGGAGGCAGGGGACACTCCAGGAGGAGTGCTGCCTGAGGAGGTGCCCTCTGGGCTGACTCTTAGACCATTCGCTTTCCCTCAACCACTGTAGGAACTTCTGCTTGAGCACCAGCAGCGCATGTTTGGACAGCAACACTTGTTAGGAAACGTGTTCCTATTGAGCCCACACCCACATTTCAAACTCTTCCATCATTGGTCCAGGTGTTACCTTCCAGAGCTCAATAAAATATATATGCGCTGACCTTCACTTAGCAGTCTTTTAGTTGTTTGTCCTTCCAAAGTCTTTTCCTTTTACAATTAAGCATTCTAAATTTTGTATATTTCTCCTACTCTCTAATCTTTCTTATACTGCTGCTCTCTAGTGTATCAATATGGCCCTTAAACTATGCTTTTCAAACCTGTATAAAATACTGCAGATGTACTCAACTTTTGAAAAAATGCAACAAAACAATCATCTCCTTTAACCAGACAAAATACTTGAGCTTACGCAGTCTAAGATCACATTGACATGCTGTAGCCCATCACATTCATCATTTAAATGATGAGTTAATGCCCAGTCTTTTCCCCAAAGAAGATGCCAAAGAAGTATTAAATATCACAGCATTGAGTAAATTAAAAATAAAAATAGAAAAATAATGATGTGAAAATGAAATAATAATACTTTGTATGGGCTCAGATGTGAGGTTAGGACTACAAAATATGCCCTACACTGTCAGAGTCAAGAAGTCTTATGTGCTTGCTAGAGCTGGAACATGGCATTGGTTCTGTTTGTAGTAGCTCACTTTGATTCATATTAAAATTGTGGTCAACTAAAATCCCTACATATATTTTTTGTGTGTGTGTGAGGAAGATCAGCCCTGAGCTAACATCCATGCAAATCCTTTCTTTTTTTGCTGAGGAAGACTGGCCCTGGGCTAACGTCCGTGCCCATCGTCCTTCACTTTATATGGGACACCGCCATAGCATGGCTTGACAAACGGTGTATCGGTGTGCACCCAGGACCTGAACCCCGGGCCGCCAACAGCAGAGCGCGCGCACTTAACCACTAAACCACAGGGCCGGCCCCCATTTATTTTTTATATAAGTGGCTTCAACTTCAAATATGCCAATTCTTCATTCCAGTTATAGTTCATCTTATTGGTTTCTGCTTGATCACGTAATTCAAAAGCTTATCCGGCCCACCTGGTTTTCTGTCATCTGCAGATCTGCCACTTATGCTTTTGTGGTGGTCCTACAAGGAACTGCTGCAAATCCAAAGAGGAAACAAAGCTTCCTTTTTGTGCTTGACATTTACTGTGAATTGCTTTTAATCAATATCAGTTATATATAATTTACTGTTCAAGAGGTTCATCAGATGATTTTCTCATCAAATAGTTCACTAATATCTTATGGCATCATTTTAACACTGCTTTCAAAGTATAAACCATTAGACTCCCCAATGTTGACTTGCTACTAAATCATATGAAAATAGACAGCAATTGCATCTGATCTATTAAGCAATCTTTAGCTATGTTGAGTCAAACTGTAGAGATTGACACCTGCAGACTCACTCTGCAAACATATTAAATCACTACACCATGTTTTCCTCTTAAAAAATTGAATATAATAAGTGAAAACAAGATGGCATGGGATACTTTCCTTAGCGGCCTGGCTACCATACACACTAAAAAAAAAACTGAGCAAGAACTAAAATAATTTCACTGATGGTATAAATCCCCAAAGGAGCTTAGAGTCTTCTAGGAAGGAGAGTATAGCAACAAGTAGGAAGAGTGAGCTGCTGAAAATCCAACTGCGGTGTGGTGGTTATGTATAGAATGCAGTAGGAGATCAAGAAAGATTGAAATCAATTCATCTGTCAGAGGAAGGTGGGGGAAGCACCAGGAAGGATGTTGTAGAGGAGATGTTTGATTTGAGTCAAGTGTTCTTTAACAGGTAAGGTAAGGAATAGTACTGCAGAAAATGGGGAGAGTATAAGCACAGGAGATAAAGAAGGAATTAAACAGGAGGTTTCATGGTTAGTAGGAATTTTTGAGTGGCTGAAACAGACTAGAAGGAACTCTCCACATCAGAAGGAACTAATGTGGAGAGAGATGAAGCTGGGAAGGTTACCAGGAGCTAGGTCATGGAGGTCATTGTGTACCATGCTGAAGGTTTAGGACTTGATTTTTTGTAGAGGATTGCACATGTTTCTATAGTTTTATGGCAAGATCCTGAAAATTACATTTTCACACTTTTATTAAAAGCCAAAATTGAAATATTCTAAATTGAAGGCATCTCCAGCAGATAAGAAAAGAATCCACTAAGCTATGCTCCTCAAGTTCCCCAAATACAATCCACCCTTGCTGTTGTGTCTCTAGACACTGAGTAGTTGAGTTTTCCTACCGATACTGTCCTATTGTTTCTGTTCCTCCATTTCCACTGTTATGTAACAGCCATCAAAACAAGTCATTTAAAATCAAGTTTGTTAAAGAATGTATTGCTGAATTTCTAATAAAATATTAGAATAAGGATTATTGAAAGTTATGGATTGAGAATTCGCTTTACTGATATTCCAATAGTTTCTACTGGCATTTTCAATATTCCAAAATACACCCTAATTCACAATGAGAATTAATCATTTGTAATATTTTTAAGAATGTTTACTTTTGGGCAGAACTATGGTATTTTTCTAAGACAATAATTAGAACATGCAGATTACATCTGAATATTTAAAAGGGAATCACAGGTTATAGCCACTCCATAATTTTTAATATACTACATATTAACAAACTTTTTGAGGAAAAAAACATGCTCCTGACTTCTAAAATACTGCAATTGTAGTTTATACTCAACTTTGCATATGAATTTCTATTAAACCTACACATTTTAAGGACTACCTTTTAAAAACTTTAAATTTCTCCTAGTATTTTAAATTTTTTGTTATAATCCATTAGCAATAGAACCTTTACATAAAGTATATATACATATATAAAGTATATATATATTTTATATATGTGATATATATGTACCTATATATATATTCTCATGATATATATATATCTTCAAAAGAAAACAGCAAAAGTAGCCACCATTAAAAATGAGATTTGAAATAGCTTTGGAAGTTCTTTGCGAAATCCTTTTCTTTAATTGTGGTAAAAGCATCCTGAAGTATACATGTAATTAAAATATTTAGAGAATGATTGGTTTGTTTAGGTTCAGCATGCATTGTTTATGCTGCGAGTTAATGAAAATTATGGTTTTAAAGAGCATGGGTCATTGTTTTTATTTTTTTAAAGAACAGGTTCTTCTATGTTTTGTTTTTTAATAGGACAAGGTGGTGTGTGTTTTCCTTTGGGAGGTCGTGTTTTATACATATTGAAACACTTCAATTAGTAAAATATTAACTTGAAAAAAATTAAGTAATTTTCAAATAACAGCTTCACATAGTTAATATGGGTTTCTAAAATAGATCAGAGTCTTACAGTAAAGACAATGGATCCACTAAAAGTTTTTACAGAGACAGATAGTAAAATTTCACATGCATCTGGAGCCACAGTTACATTCTAATCCCAAATTGCTTATTTTTCAAATAAAGTCATCCCCAAATCTGCTTAGAAGGACCAGCTTCTTGCAAAACGGAAGGGGAAAGAAAATAGTTAAATAAAATAAACACAAGAGTGTCATTTTCACTGAAGTAGGTTTCACACAAAAGCAACACGAAACAACTGTTGACAATATTTTTTAAATGGCTGAGTGCCATCTGCAAAACCTGAAGATCTGAAAATATATATTTATACCAAACGTATTTATAAAAATCTGCTCCGAGGTTTGCGAGAAATAAGTTCAATCTCCCTTTTCCCCTGAAGTATGCATGGTATATATGCCAACTTACTGAATTCATCCTTCATGCAATTCCAGTTTATTAAAGAGGTTAAAAATTTATAAAACTCTGATGGGATATGGTTTTAATGCTTCATCACACTACCCATCATTTGCTTTTCAATCTAGATCAGAATGATCTTTCCTACTTCCCTGCAATCACCTACCTGCACAGCTAATATTTTCTGAATACTCTCTTGAGAGTCTGTCTGGAACTTGGCCAGCCTCATCTGGTTGTAGAGGGCCACCAGTTTGAAGTGCTTCTGCCACACCTTGTGTATCGTTCTTTGCAGCTGACAGAGCTAAAGGGAAGAGGGAGGGGGAAAAACACAAGTCAGAGTAGGAGAGGAAATTAATGGCAGTGTTCAAGAAGAATGATGGAGGGAAATATAGAAAGCAGTCAATAGCCCATTCTGCACTGCACGGACCTGACAGGAATTTCACAGTCTCTTGATTTTTCAGCCCACTCATGTGCATTCATCAGAAACCAGTCACATCTGGCCGCCAGGATGGGGGGTTAATTTTCTCTAAATGCCTCAGCAGTTTTGTTCTAGCTGAGGCAAACTCTGTGACTGCAAAGCTGATGAGTAAAATATTTCTACTTCACCCAGTTTAACTCAAAACCGATAGCCTCGGGACATATTGAACCTTTCTTTAAAAAAATAATCTTTTGAAGCTTTTTTGAATGGCACATCAGGTCAAGCCAAAGTTTAAAAATGCAACTTTAAGACTTTGATGGACACCATTGCGTGTTTTTTTCCTCATAAAGCTTACCATTGCTTGGCAATGTGTGCTTCAGAGCATGACAAAACTAAAGAGAATTAACTTAGCCATCAACTGCTGAGGGAGAACAATAACAGGGAAGAAATTTCCAGCTAGAACTCCCTATTAATCTACCTCCCTCTGACTATGTGACATGGAAACATCTCACTGCACTAAAGTACAGTGGATGCAACGTTTAGAAGTGACATGTTTAATACTGAATCTATACGGAAAAAAGAGACTTCTATGAGGCATTCTATACCTTTTGGAAGTTGAATATAAAACCAAATAAACAACAAAAAAAACACAGTAGAAGTTTTACCAAGACAATGTACATTTTTCCTTCAACAGTTAGCATAGCCACACCATATAGAATTGCTATAATTAGGTTATTTTCAAAGAAATTAACTTTATAAAAATTAATGGTAAAAACCATATTAAAAAACATTTACATATAATATATTTTGTCACTGAAACTTCTTTTGATTTTTGGTAATGTGGATAATTATGTTATCTTATCTTGCTTATGTTGTCTTCTTTTTAGTATATTTTGCAGAATGGAAAAATAATCACCAAAAAGTTTATAGCAAACATTTCTGCATAACAGAATAAAAACAGGTCACAAAATATGGCTATTTTATGTTCTATTTATTGATCTGGGTGGGTACTGGTTACATGTACCGGATCCTTTGAAAAACTTCATCAAACAGTGCATTTATGACTTGTGAACTTTTCTGTATGCATATTTCAGTGAAACAGTTTACTTACAAATAACAATTTTTAAAGTAGTTACCTGGTGTTGCATGTGACTTGTTTATCATCATCTTCATTATGCATTGCAATAAGCAACACATAGGTATTTATGAAAGTCCACAGAAAAATGAAGCCTCTATTCTTGGTTAATTGGTTAACTTAGGAAGAAAAAATAACTTTGAAAACTATAGATACTTCAGCTTGTGAAATGTTGAAATATAGCATCCAGAATTAATTTACAGGCATTTCAGATAATTTAGGCTATTGAAGTAAAGATTAATGTCATCTTTTTGAAGATAAAATCTGTCAGTATTAAATTTTTTCTGTAATAATTTAATATATATTTAAATATTTTAGTAATTTTCATATAATATTAAGATAATTTTTTTCTGTCAACTCTGACAGCCAATGGGGGGGAGGGTATGCTGTATCTTGATATACTTATTAAGACATTTGGACACTTTAGTTTACACATTATGCCATTATTGTGATATCCACAAATATAACAAATGGCAAATAAGAGGAAGATGAATTTTAGAGGAATTCCTTAAAGTGAAGGTAATTTTTTTACAAGTGGGAGCTCTTCAACGTGTGGAAGGTTTTACAAGTGGGAGCTCATCAACCAAAGCAAACTGAATGGTAATGTTTCCAACATCCATATCTTAAATGAGGAGAAGCAGCTGTATATAGTAAGTCTATTTTATTCAGTTTTCTGCAGTCTAGCTTGAGGTAGCCACAAAGGCCCTAAATTAGTCCTTATACAAGTGTTAACTAAAGTTATTTAAGTAGAGAAGTTCCTTAAATATCAACTAAGAAAGAGTAATCTCTCAAAAAATAGTGTTTTTTGGGAATTCTATAGTTAATAGGCCTCTGGAAAAAGAAGCAGGAAAGGGAAAAACTGAAGAAATTCTTAATGAGAGAAGTATCAGCATCAAATAAAAGTCACATACACATACATAGATATGCACGTTAAAGGCAAGAAAATGATCAATAATAATATATAGGGAAAAATATTTAAGATGCTGCGAAGAATGGTTGATTTGATCTAAGCGTTGGCCATGGTGACAAGTATTTTAGAAAAGTGGTTATGATCAAAGCCCAATTAAGATGTAAGATGTCAGCAGACAGTGATCACTCAATACATATTTATTAAAATTAACTCAATAAAGTGAACTGTTAAAATTTTAGCGGTGAAAGTGAAGAAGTGAGTAAGACTTTCAGGAACTTACTAATTAATGAGAGAGGAGAAAAATAAACCAAGTAAATGGAAAAGATGCAAAAATATATAAAGAGAAAATTAAAGAAAGAGAGAGAGTTAAGTTGTGTATGGAAAAGTCCTTCAGGTGGATGCAGAATTTAGGTTGGAAAACTAAAGGAACTGGAATGTTTTTTGATCTCTCCAACCTCAATTAGCCCAGTATTTCTGGAATCAAACACTCCAATGATTGCATTCCTGAAATGCAATCATTTATCCCTGAAGTGTTACATTCCTGCATCCTCATTCAGATTTTAGAGAAGGTGAGGACGTGAGGGAGGAAACGGTAGAGAAACAAAAAAGGACAGTGAGAGACACAAGCACACTGGATGGGGGATAGCAAGGGCACTTCGAGGCCTTGTCATGTACTTAGAAGTAGGAATGGAATTGAGAGCCATTGGTAGATGAGCGGGACTACTGCTTAGCCACCAATAAAAAATGCAAGAATTTTGGAAGAGAATGGATACATTCTCATAGAAAACTAAGGAGGAGCATATTAGAACAGGAAAAGAATCATTTTGGAAAAAATTCTCAACTCCATCGCCCTCAATTTTGTATACGAAAGAGGAAGTGAGGATATTCAGCTGTATCAGGAAAGCTAAATGTGGAAACAGCTGGTGTGTACTCTGAGCCGTTTAAAACGTCAAGAAGGAAGAGAAGAGTTTTCTGACAATGGTTTCTGCCCAGTTTGAATTTGTAGTAGGCTTGGTAAGCTTGGCTCTAGTACTTGATTTGTGAGTTCTTTGCTGAAGGAAGCCCAAAGATAGAATTCATTGATTCTTCTTTTGAATGATCACTGTGTATCTATTCATGAAGAGAAAAATCAGTGAATGTCCATTTTGACGTAGTGTATTGAGATATAGAGAGTTGGTGTTCTTGTGTCAATGTGAGCATTGCATAGAGTGTACGTTTGTGAGCCTTATATACAACATACATTTATACATTTGGTAAAAATATCTTCTGATTAAATTTGATTAGGTTCCTATGACATTTATTAATATTTTAAAGCTTAATAGTCTTTGACAGTAAAACAGTAAATTAATGTTGTCACTTCCAAGAATAAAAGACTCTCTATTTTCTTATTTTAATACACTAAATTACACAGATTCTGTTTTAATCCAAGTTGTTTTGATTGCCTATATAAATCCATGACAATTGATAACTCCTATATATCACATAAACCTGGCCTTAAGATTAAATATTATAATGCATATATCATGACACACAAAACCTCTAATTATATGGGTTTAGATTTATATTATTTTCTTGCTGTTGTGCATGTAAAAAATTACAATATGCTAAGAACAAAATAACACTATTTGATCTTCCAATTACAGGTTTCAAAATCATTAGGACTAGCCATAATCAAATTTGTACCAAGATATTGCCTTACACTATTCCCATGTTCTCAGCGTGGAAATGAGAAATTTCAAAGCATCACCTTTTCAAGTATTTTCCAGGGCCAGGTTGAAGCATACAATTATCTGATTTACATTATAGAGAAGACAAGAATAAAGTAAAGTCTTACTATGCCTAGCCCAAAGGAGACAATTGGGACACACTGTGGAAGAATGAAGTGAAACAGAGTTGAAGTATATTTGCTATTTGTTGTCAGAGAAGAAAATGTTGATAGGTGGGATTTTAAAAACAGGCCCTCAAGTTATTTGATAAACCTCCCTTTAAGAAGTGAAGCCGAATTCCTCTCCCCCTGAGCATGGGCTGGACTTAGTGACTCTCTTGTAAAGAACAGAATATGGCAGAAGATAGTATGACGCTTCCAAGAAACACACACACAAACACAAACACAAACACACTGACAACTGTGGCTTCTATCCTGAGTTTTCTCTCTAATTCTCTTAGATCATTTGACCTGGGAGAAGCCAGTTCCCACGCTCCATGAACAGCTCTGTGGAAAGATCCACATGGTGAGGAACTGAAGGGTTTTTTTGCCAACAGCTCTGTGAATGATCTTGGAAGCAGATCCTCCAGCCTCTTCGGATGACTGCCACCCCAACCAACAACTTGACTGCAACCTTGTGGGAGACCCTGAGCCAAAATCACCAACCTAAGCAGCTCCTGATTCTTGATCCTCAAAAACTTTGTGAGAAAATAAATGTTTCTTGGTTTAGGCTGCTAAATTTTGGGACAATTTGTTATGCAGCAATAGTTAACAATAGGTTCTTAACTCTCTCCCTCTCTTTGCCTAGTAAGGAAATAATTTACTATCCATAATTTCTGACTGGAAAGTAAAAGTGTTCTCTTAATTCACTGTTTGGTTTAAGACTGAAACTGCAAATGATTTATTAGTAATAAGAGGATGATTAATAAATACTTATTGATTGATGGAATACAGTTTGTACCATCTAGGAACTCATTATTTTAATTGAAGATAGTGCAAAGGAACTAGAATTTAATAGTTCCAGAAATTTAAAAATGGTTCATTATTCAACAAATATTTTCATGTAATACATCAATATATTAAAGAAAAAATAATCATCCTCAAAAGAAGAATATGAATCAACACTGAATAAA